AGGGTGCTCAGCACGTTCACATGGTGGCGTGACCGTCGACTGCTGTCATCTCCAGAGCGTCATGTCTTCCCAAGCTGAGGCCCTGTTCCCTGAAGCCCTGGTTCCCGTCCCCAGCCCCTGGCACCCCCCTTCAGTCTCCTGTCTCTGGATCTGACAACCCAGGGACCTCCTAGGAGCGGGGTCTCTAGGACGCAGCCTTCTGTGTCTGGGTCTCATGGACCGTGACATCCTTGAGGCTCATCCACACGGGGCCTGTGGCAGCCTCTTTCCTTTTGGTGGCTGAGTCGTGTTCCCTACCATGAGGATCTGACCTCCCTCGTGGACACGTGACTCTGGCCACCCTGGGGTCCCGGCCCTCCCACACCTCCTGGCCGTGCTCTCTGCGGGGCCTTTCTGTCCTGGGCCCAGGGCAGCCCCGCGCTGGCCCCCTTCCTCAACGCGTGTCCTTCAGTTGTGCTCTGGTCCCTCATGTGGCGCATCTCCACGGGGAGGAGGTATCTCCTGTGTCGCGGCCCGCAGGGACATGGCCACTGCTCCAAGAGCGAGTGGAGACCCACGCCACAGGGGAATCCCCAGCCCTGTCTTGACTTGCCGTGTGCGTGGAGCTTCTGGGGGTTGCGACCCGGCCCACTCAACAGGTCCCAGCCCGACCCGGCATTGGCGCCACCTGCCTACCTGCCTTGAGCTCTGCCCCAGGACCCAGCAGGGTTCGCCCTCGGGCCTGTTTTCCCATTCTGGGGTGGGGATGATAGCCTCCTGGGTCTGGGTCTGGGAGCAGAATCCAGGGACACATGGTGCCGCGCAGTGAGCCGTGGTCCTGTGGGCTCGGGTGGGTCGCTGCCTCACGCCCTCCCTCTCCAGTTCCAGACATTTCTGGGCAAGGTGGAGGAGACCTTCCAGTGCATCTGTTGCCAAGAGCTGGTGTTCCGGCCCGTCACCACTGTGTGCCAGCACAACGTGTGCAAGGTGAGCTGCGGAAGGCTCCGGAAGGGCGCCCTCCCACGCACACGCCCACCTCCGACACAGTTTGTTTGCTCCCGCTCGCGGCTTTCTCTGACCAGTGTCTGCTCTCTGGAGGCCTGTCACAATAGCCTCCCTGCCTCCCCCATGCTCCAGAATGAAACAGACCCCACCGGGCTGGTCCGCTCCTCCGTCCGCCTGGCCTCACGACCGCTGTCAAGTACACCGGCTCCTGAAGGGTTTGGGGTCTTGTACAGAAGCCTGGGAGCATTGGCACAGCGGGGCCTGTGGAGGCCGTGGAGACCCAGGCCCTGGTCACGTCAGGAAGGCAACGCTTTTGACGGGGCGATGGGCAGAGATGGTCTGGGACAGGGTCTCCTCCCGTGGGCATCCGGCCCCTGCGGGCTGTGAGCAGCGTCCTTGGCCTCACCCCTCCATGCCAGGGCACCCCGAGTCACGACAGGCATAAACGTCCTCAGACACTGCCATGTGCTGTTGGGACAGAGCCACCAGCTGGGCCATGTTGGACAGGGCAGTGGCTTCTCTGCAGTGGTCTCTGGCCGTAGCCAGTCAGGCCTGACTGGTGTGGGAGGGGCTGGCGCCACCCACTCCCCCTTGGTCTCAGCTGTGGGGGGTGTTGCTTCTGGCATGACCCCCTTCTCAGCCGTGGGCCGCTGTGTCTCGCAGCGCCAACCAACCTTCAGGCCAGGAGGGGGTCCCAGCACTGGATGGTGGCTTGGGACAGGCCTTTGGCCTTTCTGCCCTCCCCAGCCCCGTCCGCCTCACCCTGGGGCCGAGGCCCTTCAGCTGTGGGACCACCCCGCCTGCTCACTGGGGACCGGGTACAAGATGTCCCTGCCGCTCCCAGGGCTCTGTGAGGTCCCGGGAAGAGCATGAGGCCATGATGCCTCTGACTCAGTGGCCTGGGTTAGACCCGCCTCTCACTTCCCCGCCCGGTGGCCTTGGGAAGCCACCGAGCCACTGGCTCTGTTGCTGGTGGCGAGAGAATCGGCGATGCCTTCCCGGCCGATTGTCTCAAGGGTCATGGCTCAGCCGCAGCAGGAGGCAGGTGCCCAGTGGGTCAGCACAGGCGAGGCTGGGCTGTAGGCAGGGCTAGAAGGGAGGACGCTGGGACATGGGGGACTCTGCTACTATGTCTGCCTCGGCGTATGGGAGGGAAGAGGCTCGCTGTCACAGGCATGTCCCCACATCTGTCCCTGTGCCTGAGTCCACCTAGGGAGCGCTGCATCCAGAGGTTACGGAAATCCAGCCTTGACCCTCCACCCTGGGTTTTTCTAACCTCATTTAGAAAAAGTTTATTTTATTTATTATTTACTTATTTTTGAGTTGGAATCTTACACCCAGCCAAGGCTGGAGTGCAGAGGCATGCTTACAGCCACCACAGCCTCAACCTGCTGGGCTCAGGCGATCCTTCTGCCTCAGCCTTCCAGGTAGCTGGAACCACAGGTGTGCACCTCCATACCTGGTTAATTTTTTGATTTATTTTTTTATTTCATTTTTTTTTTTTGAGTTGGAGTCTCACTCTGTCACCCAGACTGGCATGCAGTGGCCGCTCCCGGCCACCGCAGCCTCGACCTGCTGGGCTCCGGCGATCCTTCCGCCTCAGCCTTCCGAGTAGCCGGAATTACAGGCATGCGCTACCACGCCTGGCTGATTTTTCGATTTATTGTAGAGATGAGGTCTTGCTGCCCAGGCGGGTCTTGAACCCGTGGGCTCAGGCAATCCACTCACCTCAGCCTCCCAAAGGCGCGGGATTACAGGCTGAGCCACTGAGCCTGGCTAATTTTTTGTTTTATTATAGAGACGAGGCCTCGCCAAGTTGCTCAGGCTGGTCTCGAACCCCTGGGCTCAGGCTGGTCTTGAAACTCTGGGCTCAGGCAGTCCTCTCTCCTCTGCCTCCCAAAGTGCTGGGAGGACAGGCATGAGCCGCCACACCCGGCTAGAAGAAGTTTTTGTTGTGGCAGATGTATGTAACATGAAATCCACCATCTTAGTCGTCTTTAGGTGTGCAGTTCACTGTCATTAAGCACACTTGCGTGGACGTGTCACTATCATCACTGTCATCTCCAGCATTCTCTCTTCTTTCAAAGTGAAACTCTGTCCCCACAAAACACTCACTTCCCTCCCTGTCCCTGGCACCCACCATGTGAATTTCTGTCCCTGTGAATCTGGCAACTCTTGGGACCTTCTGGAGTGGGATCTCACAGGGCGTGTCCAAGTGTCTGGGCTTTACCGAATGTGACATCCTTGAGGTGCCACTACACTGCGGCCTGTGCCGGAGCCTCCTTCCTTTTCGCGGCTGTGTCATGTTCCACAAGTGGACGGGCCATGCCGCGTGGATCCATCCTCCCTCGATGGACACTGAGGCTGTCCCAGCTTTGGGCTATTGTGGTCATGCTACCATCCAGAGCCTGATTGTGACTGGGGACCTAAATCTTAGCTGTGTCTAGAAGAAACAAGTACCTATTGTCTTTGGAGTCAGGACCATGGGTTTGTCTTGAGAGAAGAATTCGGGAGTTTTTAAGAATAGAAAGCAGGCCGGGCTTGGTGGCTCAGCCTGTAATCCCAGCGCTTTGGGAGGCCGAGGCGAGTGGATTGCCTGAACCCGCGGGTTTGAGACCCGCTCGGGAAACTTGGCAAACCTCGTCTCTACAATAAATCAAAAAATTAGCCAGGCGTGGTAGCGCGCACCTGTGGTTCAGCTACTTTGGAAGGCTGAGGCGGAAGGATCGCCGGAGCCCGGCAGGTCGAGGCTGTGGTGGCTGGGAGCGTGGCACTGCACTCCAGAGTGGGTGACAGCGAGACTCCAAGTCAAAAAAAAAGAATAGAAAACAGAAGCCACAGGCCGTGTCCAAAAGGTAACTGTGCTGCGGTGCGGTGGGCCTCTCCAGGAGTGACCTTCCTCTTCCCGCAGTGATGTGACCACACCCTGCACAGGTGTGCTCAGGCCTGTGTGTGGTCCCCTCCCTCCCAGTGTGCTGCCAGCAGGTGGCATCCTCCTGCGTCTGGCTGGGACACTGAGGCCTCCAGTCCTGTGACCCTCCGTGGTCCGCAGTGGCGTTTCTCCCCAGGCGAAGCTTGGCAGGAACCGAGCGTGAACCCGGGAGTCCTAGTCTGACAGCCTCGGGACCTCCTTCCTCCTTTCTGCCTGTCACTGTGTGTGTTATTCGAGCACCTACTGTGCTGGGGCTGTGCTTGGGTTGGGGGCGCCAGCGAGACCCCACATCTCAGGGGGCGTCTGGTCTAGACCACGTGGCACATTAATGAACGGGGCGACTCCAGAAAGTGCTGCCGGGAAGGGAGACAGGTGAGGTGACGCGACTGGCCAGGCTGAGGTGCCCCTGATAGTGCAGGGACGTCAGGGAAGGCGACTCGAGTGGCTTGAGCCAAGCCTGAGCGACCCTCGAGCCAGGCCAGCCAGTCAAGTGGCATGACCTGCCCGTGCAGAGGCCTGGAGGCTGGACGAGCCTAGGGTCGTCGCGGGGCCCGGGGAGGCCAGGCTGGTGGTGGGTGGCAAGCAAGACTGAGAGCAGGTGGGGCCTCTGGCCCTTGGAGGCGGTCCCTGGGGCTCCTGGGTGTGACCCGTCGGCTGGACATGCGTCTCACCCGTCCGCTCTGTCTTGCAGGACTGCCTGGACAGGTCCTTCCGCGCTCAGGTGTTCAGCTGCCCGGCCTGCCGCTGCGACTTGGGCCGGGGCTACGCCATGCAGGTCAACCAGCCACTGCAGGCCGTGCTCAGCCAGCTCTTCCCCGGCTACGGCAATGGCCGGTGATATCCAAGCACTTCCCGGCCGGCACTGTCGCCACGCGAGTTGGAGGGGCCCCGGGGGCCCTGATCTGTTCTTAGTGGGCTTAACTTAAACATGTAGTTTATCCTCCGTTCCCTAAAAAGCTTGTCTTCCTTTATTATTTGTTTTTAATCTATACATTTTCAGGAATTTATGTATTCTGGCTGAAAGTTGGACCTCTGTATTGTGTTTAGTTTTTCAAAAATATAAAGCCTGCAACGTATCAACAAAACAAAAGATGGTTTGAAGATGGAGTTGGAACCGCGTGGCGTGAAGGCCACACATGTGCCTGATGGCCTGTTCTCAAGAAGTTATTGCCACCAGTGGGTAGGGAGTGTCCGGCTGCCTGGGACAATCTTTCTCCGGGTTTGTGGGTTTGGCCCCCAAGGTCAAAGCAAGGGTGTCTTCCTGACGGCATTGTATTGTCTAAAACCCAGCGAGATGACTTCTTTCCAGCAGTGGCCTCAGGCGTGACATGGCGTGGCGTGTCCCAGCTATTTGTGGAGACATCGTTGAAAGGAAAAGAAGAAAAATCTCGGACCGGTGTCAATGCTTCCCTTAAGCCACCTCCTGCCAGGTTCTGTGGAAATATCCTGCCCAGTGAGCAGATAATCTGGGCTGCGTAGACACTACCTCAGGTGGCCTCGACTCCACGCGGGGGCTGGGCGTACACCGTCCACGGCCAGAGGCCACGGATGCCAGCCCACGAAGCCACATTCAAGTGCCTTTGGCTTGTTCCTCCGTTCTAAAGACGAGGCTGTCTGTTCTCAGCACTGAATCGTTGAAAATGCCAACCTGCTTTTCAGAACTGCAGCCACCCAGTCTTTCCTGACTCCGGTGGGTGTTCGGGCATGATTTGAGTTTTATAGATCCTTTAACTTCGGTTTTTAACTTGGCAATTAAAAATTTGCAAGAGGGATTTTTTTTAATGAACGTTTTTTTAAATGAAATTTTTTGTAGTTACTGTATATGTACCGAGAAAGATATAACGTAGGGTTTGGTTGTTGTTTTTGTATTTTCTGGAAGGGTTTGTTAATTGTTCTAATTTTACCAAAGTTTGCAGTCTATACCTCAACAGAACAGGGATATTTTAAATCACACGACTGCAGACAAAGTGGAGCAATACTGTCTAAGGGGTTCCTCCTCTTATTAGGTTGTTAATGTGTTAGGGGAGAAACAACAAAATTCCATGTAGGCTTTTTTTCAAGTCCAATGTTCTTTGTCCAGAGTTTAGGTTCTCAGAATAAATGTTTTCCACAGATCTGTTTGCTTGTGTCTCTATTTGCAAAGTGCTTTGGCACTCTGCACGCTTGTACCTATCATTTCTTTTTTCTCTGGAAGAAAATTCTGAAAGGGAGGCCAAGTGGGGCACATCATCCCCACTTGACAGATAAGAATACTGAGACCCAGAAGTGTGTAGCGATGTGCCAGGGTTCTAACTGCAGCACAGGAGGAGTGGGCTGTTTGCTTTCAGTCTTGAGCAGGAGTCAGCAAACCACAGCGATGAGCCCAAGACCAGGCCACTGCCTGTTTTTTAAAATGTTTTAAATTTTGAGTCAGGTCTCACTCTGCTGCCTGGACTGGAGTGCAGTGGCGTGATCACAGCTCACCGCAGCCTCGAACTCCCGGGCTTCAGTGATCTTCCCCAACCTTCTCAGTAGCTAGGACTACAGGCGTCACCATGTGTGGCTCATTTCTTATTCTTTGTTGACATGGTGTCTCGGTATGTTGCCCAGGCTGAACTCAGACTAGTGGGCTCCAGCCATTCTCCCACCTCGGCCTCCTAGCCTTTACCGATGGTTTAAGTCACCATGTGAACAGATTTTTTTAATTACAAAAAAAAATTCTGCATCTTTTAGTCCTTAAAAAATGTCACATGAGGCTGGGCTCGGTGGCTCAGCCTGAAATCCCAGCACTTTGGGAGACTGAGGTGAGTGGATTGTCTGAACCCGTAGGTTCGAGACCAGCCCGGGCAACATGGTGAGACCTCGTCTCTACAATAAAAATAAGCCGGGCAGGATAGCGCATGCCTGTAGTTCCGGCTGCTTGGAAGACTGAGGCGGAATGATTGCCAGAGCCCAGCAAGTCGACACTGGGATGGTGGTGAGTGTGCCACTGCACTCTAGCCTGGGCAACAGAGTGAGACTCCAACTCAAAAAAAAAGTGTCACGTGTTCTTGAGCGTGTTAAGTAAAGAGAGAAATCAGTCAAAAGGGTACCTATGATTCCATGAATATGTGAGATGCCGACATTAACAGACAGCAGGTTGGGGGTCTCCAGGGCCTGGAGCAGAGAGAATGGGGGAAGGGTGGGGGTGACGGATGAAAAATACTGGGGCTTCTTTTTGAGGTGGTGGAAATATCCTGAAGTTGGTCACAGGTATCTGTGGAAATGCTAAAACCCATTGAATTGTATACTTTAAGGGGGTGAGTTGTATGGTGTGTGGTTTACACCAGAAATATGTCAAGTGCGAATGTGAAATGCAATCGGAAGATGCCCAGCTCTGGGGGTCTCCACAAATGTCCCCTGCAAGTGACAGGTGAGCTCACTGTCCAGACGGCCGACTGTTCTGGATGCTTCTCTCATTTTAGAGTCAAGAGCAATGTCATTGTCAAGAAAAGAAAAAAAAAGCAAAACCCAGAAAAGTATTTGTGAAGCCGCTATGCAGAATGAGAATACTGGGCCGGGTGCAGTGACTCAAGCCTGTAATCCCAGCACTTTGGGAGGCCAAGGCGAGAGGATTGCCTGAGTGCAAGTCTGGGCAACTTGGTGAGACCTCATCTCTACATTAAACCGAAAAATAGCCGGGCATGGTAGCGCGCACCTCTGAATTCGGGCAATATGGCAAAGCCAGAGTATGTGTTTATAAGTCCTTAGATATGTTTTATATATAAATTTTAAAAAACTTTCACAGAGGTGAGAGGATTACCTGAGTCCAGGGGTTTGAGACCAGCAGGGGCAACTTAGCGAGACTGTGTCTCTACAATAAATCAAAATATTAGCTGGGTGTGCTGGTGCATACCTGTGGTTCCAGCTACTTGGAAGGCTGGGGCGGAGGGATCACCTGAGCCCGGCAGGTCGAGGCTGCAGTTTTCATGAGCGTGCCACTGCACTCCAGCCTGGGTGACGACAGAGTGAGATTCCAACTCAAAAAAAAAATTTATTTTTTATTTGAGAGATGAGGTCTGCTCTGTCGCTCAGGCTGGAGTGCAGTGGTATGATCATAGCTCACTGCAACCTTGAACTCCTAGACTTAACTGATCCTGCCTCAGCCTCCCAAGTACCTGGGACTAAAGGTGCATACCACCATGTCCTGGCAATATTTTACATTTTTTCTGTAGAGATGAAATCTCGCTGTGTTGCCCAGGCTGGTCTCAACTCCTGACCTCAAATGGTCCTCCTACCTTGGCCTTCTGAGTAGCTGGGATTACAGGCAGGAGCCATCACACTTGGCTGATGTGTATGTTTTATATATAAATTTAAAGGACAAAATTAGGACAGCACTGTACGCAGTTTGTGCCTGGCTTTCTTTTCAATTCATTTCAGTTCATTTATCGAGTACTTTGGCACCTTAGTAAACAAGCAGGTGTGAGCTGTGATCTCAGTGTATGTATATTTGT